CTTCTTCCTAATTAGATTCATTTTCAGAGACCTAACAGCTTTCAGCCTTTGATAGGAAAACTCAAGGTCATCTCATAAAAACTGCCTTCATCACTCTTCATAGTTAATTTTTCTTAATTGCTCTTTATTTAAGGATAACAGCGAAATTAAACTGGAAGGTGGACCGGATCAGGTGATTCTTACAATATTACCGTTAACACAGTCAGGATTAAATCGATTTAGGCGATTACCTGTTAGCTCAGGGCTGGTGGCACTCTGTACCAGATGGTTTACTTACCGGAAGGATCTCCCAGCTCGTGTACGAAGATGGGGATTCGTGATTTTCCCCTCCCCAGAATTCATTCACCAGCAAAAGCTTATTGAAATTTGATGTTTACATGCCTGTCTTTGGAGTGTGGAGATCAGGGGAGAAAATGAACTTTGAAAACTCTTATATAAAAGTCAACCACATCATTTTAATTAAACACTGTCCTACCGTTGGTGGCGATTTATTAAATTCTCTACTTAATTAAAAGAGAAAAAATGTATTATAACTTCTGTAATTACATGTGGGTACCATTATACCGACTGTAGAGATAGATCCAATAAAAACCCGCTTAGCTTCATTATGCTCCTGGTATTTAAATTGGACGGGCTATTCTAACCAATTCAGTACAATTTAGAGTTGATGTCTGGCCCATTTAGATTATTGATGACATAGATATTTTAATTCCCTCCCATCAAATGTCAGTATCACTATGAAGATGGTCAGACTTTCTTGGGATCATGAGCTCCATCAAATCCATTTTTTTCTTAAATCTCGACAGCCCGAATGGTCATAACGAAGGCCTATTCCTGAAACGTTTGTGTTGAAACCCGTGGTGGGTCTACCGGAAATGCAGGCCGTCAGAGCTCAGATCCAATCTTCATAATTTCCATTGTATTGAACTGTCAACGAATCGAGGTTATCTAGCATCTGAGCAGGCAGAGTGTGTTGTATGCAGACTTTTTCATCTATGTTCTTTACTCTTGATGAAATTAGAAAACATTCTTGGCCGTGCCGGATTCTGCTGATGTAGACAAGCAGTAGGACTCGTGTGTTACTGTAGCTATTCAAAGTTAGTTAGTTAGTTTATTATTATTATCATATGTACAGAGTACAGTGTACAAAGCACAATGAGATTCTTACTTGAGTACCATCTCTACAGACAAAAAATATAAGACTTCAGACAAGACATAGAAGACATAATAGTGTAAAAAAACGTGCAACATAAAGTGTCATTGCCATGTAAAGTGTTGTGCACTACAGCATTGCACATGGTGTGAGGAGACAGAATTTTTATTGCCCGGAGAGAGAGAGAGAGAGAGAGAGAGAGAGAGAGAGAGAGAAAGAAAGAAAAGCCTCTCTTGTTACTGTGTAACTGGGTGTTGAACAGTCTTACAGCACTGGGATAAAAGCTGTTTCTGAATCGTGCTGTGCGTGTATGTATTGTCCTAATTCTCCTGCCAGATGGCAGAAAAGTGAAAAATGGCAGTGCAGGGAGGCTACAGTCCTCCATGATGCGCTTTGTCTTTCTGAGACAGCGCGTGGTGTAAATGTCCTTTATCGCAGGAAGTGACGTGCCGGTGATCCTCTGCGCTGTCTTCACCACTCTCTGCAAGGCCTCTCTGTCTTGTGCAGTGCAGCTGTGGTATGTTAAAAATTAGTATTTTGCTTAAGATTGCTTTTCTAAAGGTTGTTGTACTGAATAACTATAAAAAGGTACATGTTAAAATGTTGAAGATAGACGCAGAATTGTTTTTTTTATGTCTATTAAAAGGTTTAGTTAATTAGTATAATGCCTGATTGGTACACTAGGGGGAGATCACGAGCATGTTCCTCATAATTGTGTTGGAACGGATGTTGTGCCTGATTGGTACATTAGGGGGCGATCACGAGCATGTTCCTCATTCAGTAAAAGTTTTCGAAGAGGAAACATCGCTGGTGATTTTTTCGTTTTTTCCTCTCCCCTTTATTCAGGGAGACAACACAGCCACCATACCGGGATGTGATGCTCCCCGTGAGGATGGACTCCACAGCACACCTGTAGAAGCTTGTGAGGACTGAGTTAGACATCCTAGCTTTCTTCAGATGTCTGAGGAAGTAAAGACGTTGGTGGGCCTTTTTGGTGACAGCTGCGGCATGCTCTGTAAACTTGAGGTTGGCGCTGAGGGTGTTAAAAATGTCTGTAAAGACAGCAGACAATTGCTCACTGCACCCCTTCAATACACGTCCGGGAATGCCGTCTGGACCCGGTGCTTGGCGAGGGTTGATTTTATTGAAAGTCCTTTTTAGGTCCGTGACAGACGCGGTGAGAGTGACGTCATGTGGCGCTGCGGGAGCCCGCTCTGGAGAATGTGGATTCGCCAGCTCGAAGCGCGCGTAGAACGCGATCAGTTCGTCTGGGAGTGATGGGCTGGCAGAAGTAAAAGCATGTGATTGTACTTTATAATCCGTCAGAGTCTGAATCCCCCTCCTCATCTGACGCGCGTCAACTGGGACTCCACTTTACTGCTGTATTCCCGCTTTGCGCTTCTGATGGCTTTCCGGAGATCGTACCTGCATTTTTTGTACAGTTCCGCATCTCCGGACTGGAACGCGCGTGTGTGCGCTGGCGGAGCTTGTGGCGGATGACGGCGGTTATCCAGGGTTTCTGGTTGGGGGATGAGCGGACAGTTTTAATGGGAATGCACTCCTCCACGCAGGTCTTGATGAAATCAGTGACCACTGTGGTGTACTCATCCAGGTCAGAGGATGAATTTCTGAACATGTCCCAGTCCGTGCACACAGTCAAAGCAGTCCTGCAGCTTGTCCTCCGCCTCACGTGTCCAGCGCTGCACCGTGCGCGTCACCGGCTCCTCACGCTTCAGTTTCTGTTTGTAAACAGACAGGAGAAGCACGGCGGTGTGGTCTGACCGACCCAGGTGCGCGCGTGGTAAAGAGCAGAATGCCCCCCAATGTCCCGTGTAGCAGTGATCAAGCGTGTCAGCTCCACGAGTGGGGCAGGAGACATGCTGGTGGTATTTCGGGTATTTCGGGCACAGACTCCTGAAGTCCGCCTGGTTAAAGTCCCCCAAAATAATAAATGGTCCATCAGGATGCGCGTTCTCATTGCTGGTGATGAGCTGGTAAAGTTCACTCAGTGCGCGCTGTGTGTTCCCCTGGGGTGGAATATAAAGCGCTGTCATAAACACCGTGCTGAATTCTCTCGGTAAATGGAACGGCCTGCACTTGATCATCAGAAACTCAAAGTTTGGCAGATGCCAGTCCATCACGCACACAGATACTTATATACATACACTGTAAGATACCGACGACCTGCATGTGTTAGAAAAGCAGCTCAAATCCCCTGGGAAATCCACTCAGATATGGGGGGGAACATGTGAACTCCATGCTGGGTATGTTTTTATACATATCTGAAGGGCCTCCTGGTCTGTGCCCGACCTAACTGTCTGGAAGATTCCACTCCGCAGCCAGGAGCTGAGGATGCAGAGATCAGCTTCAGTTCTGGGCTGTCTTTCATGTCTGTGACCCTGATCATGTGTCGTCTCACGGGGGGAGAAGAATCGAGGGAGCTGACAAGAAGCAGAGCCTGCATGCTCACGAAGGGGGCAGTGGAGGTCGCCAGCGAGTCGGACCCAGGACACCGGTGCATGTCTGCTTGACACGGCTGAGCGTGGAGTTGCAGCCCGTGCCACAAAACCCCAGCTGAGTTACAGGGCAGCTTCACACATCTAGAAACTTCTGCGGTCGCATATTTCTGCAGGATCAGCAGCAGAGGTAGTGTGGGGGAAAAAAATAAATTAAATAAGTTTTACTTCTGGCATGATGACGGCAGAGCCAGTATTAGAATAAATGATCTCGCTCCGAGTCGGCACTTTAATCAGGAATGTCATTCACTCTGGCTCCCTCGTAAAACATGGTGGATGCGGTCGCATTAAATATTAAACGCAAGGCCATGACACGCCTTAAAATGACCACGCGTGTAGGTGATGGCACGTCACGGGAGAATGGAAGGGGAAACGAATGGCAGGAGATTGTTTAAATTATACCTCCCAAATTCATGCTCCCGAAGTATTTCTGTCAGCCATCCTCTTATTAAAAAGGTCCAGACGACTACTTTCATGTGACTTTGGGGAGGCTCACAAGGTAGGGCTGCATCTCAGATCCAACATTTAAGTTGCATCCAGCTGAGCTGGATCTTTCTTTGATTTGCAAGAGAAAACCCTTCATCCGTCTTTTCTCAGTCTGAATGTGTGGACGTGAACAACACCGTACATTTACTCATTAGAAGCCAATGAATGAATGAATGAATGAAGCCAAGTTAAATTTTGAGAAGTAAATGTCCCCCCAGTTCCCATACCCTTGCCAAGCACAGGATATGAACTAATGACCTTCTGATCAGACATAGTGTCCTAACCCCATAAGCCACACACTGCCCCAGATGCAAGTTCTGGGTTGCAGTTTATGTTTCTCCATCTTTATTAACTGCTGCCTATTAATATTCCATCCGCCCATCTTTGGTACCTGCTTGTCCTATCCAGGGTCGAGGAGGGCCTGGAGCCTATCCTGTAGGCTGTGCGCACAAGGCGGGGAACAACCCAGGATGGGGCACCAACCCATTGCAGGGCACAGTCACACACCAGTCACTCACACAGCCTATTAATGTTCCTATCCCAGAATGCACTGGTACACTCTGGAAGGACTGGCAGGCTATCACAGAGCACATACAATCACACACTATGGGTAGACTCAAGGGTGCTAAATTACCGAACCGGATGTCTTTGGATTGGAAGAAACCAGCACAATCAAACCCAAACCCCCCGGAGGTATAACGCAACTGTGCCACTCTATCACCACAAATTGTTTTGTATCAAATTGAAACCAGCCAGTGAAAAATATTTTCTGTACGAAATATTCTCCCCTTGGTATAGGGTGAGTAAGTTTAGCATACAAGCTACCAGGCTGCAAAAAAAGACCATTTTTGTGGGATTTGTTGTTTTTCTTTTAATTGAGCTTGAGGGTCACATTCATAGTTTAGAGTCAGCGTGGATGGCAATGAAAGGGTCTTCTTCCGTGTTGCTGATCCTGAAGTTGGCCTTTCCGTCGCTGCCCACATAGACCTGCCTGCCGGTGCATCTTCCTGCCTCCTCCTGGCCAGAGATGATGTCACAGTAGGTGCCTCCAGCCAATCCCGTGTTCAGAGTCACGTCCAAAATCCTATCAGCAGTCAGGTCAATCATTAGGGGATTACTATCAACATCCAATTAGCCAATCAGAACAAGATTTTTCACCTTTTCTTAAAGAAGAGACCACCAATGAAAAACAGACCACAGCTATAGACCCCCACCATTAATGTGTGACTCCCTCAAATACAATTTTCTCTTGGGGAGGTCTATTCTTTTGCTCCCCATTGAAAACGCTCGACAGGACTCGACATTCCCTAAATCACATAGGCACGTAGACTCACCAGTCGTCGTTGTTGAAGATGATGAAGCCACGATTACCGCGACCGAAAGCAACCTGGTTGTTGCCATTATCCCACCAGTTAGAAAAGGGCTGTCCGTTGACAACGTTACGGAAGATGACCATGTTCCTGACAGTGAAGCACAGAATGTTAGAAGAACACCCGAAGCGGGTTTCCGGGACACGTCGGGAGACCGCTCACCTGATTTGGCGCCAGCGATGCTCGCACACCCAATTGTCTCCGCAGGTGGTGTCGGGGTTGATGGGAACAGGCTTGGTGGTGCCGTCGGGGTAACTTGGAGGTCCCATCCAGTCATTCTTATCCTAAAAGACAACAAGCCCAAATTCAGTGATGGAACCTTCTCGAAAACAGGCACATATGGGTTCTGATGCGAGATGGATCACCTTGCCGTTCTCGAAGTAGCGGTCCCAGCGGAAGCTGGACATGACCCTTGTCAGTCCATAGGGGTGGGCCAGCATGAACCCCACTGCCATCTTGTACATTCTGTGGAGGACAGGGCACACATTTCACCTCATACTTCCACAATTCCTTTTTATTACTCTTTTTTTTCCCCTGACGGAAGACAACCCAAAAATGACCCTGGCCGCACGGCGTACCTGGGGTCCCAGAACGTCAGAACGGACGAGCCGCCAGCCCCGTGGCCCCTCTGATTGTCGTGGTTGTCCACAAACACCAGGGATCTATCATTGGGCATGAATCCCCAGCCTTCTCCCCAGTTCCTGAAATAACCAGCAGAAACCCCCCCCCCCATCTCACCATTAAACACAAAAAGCCATAATCACCAAAGTGTGTGCGGTCATTCACAACTTAAATCTCATAGGTTGCTAATGTTGTAAAGCTGGACTCATTTACAGCAAATATGTCTGTCCTCAGGTGTTTGTGCTACATTTAATTTCATTCTTGTATGCCTATATATGCAATGAAGTAATTTTCTAAAAAAATGTTTCATATTCTGCTTATTTAGTATTTGAAGGAAAGACAATTTGAAGATGCTCTATGTCATAATAAATATGTGCATGTTTTTGTTACTGTGATAGGTTGGTACCCCTACTCTGGGTTATTCCCTGCCATGCCCCCATAATTTCCAGGGTAGACTCCAGACTCCTCGTGACCCCGAATAGTGTGAAATGATTAATTGTCAATGATGACACACTACAGCACACAGGGCACAACGACAAAATGCATCCTCTGCATTTAACCCTTATGTGACATCATGACATAACAGTAGGCAGGTAATTCAGTGCCTGGGGAGCAGTGCTTGGGGGGGTACTTGCTGTTTGGGGATCTGAACCAACAACCTTTCAATCGCAATGCACACTTCCCTAAGAATTAGATCACCACTGTCAAGTAGGCACAGGAAATGGATGAATGGATATTTTTGCTAATACTTGTTAGCTTAATACTTACTTCAGGTACGCCATTTTCTCTCCATTCCATTTGCGGATGACTGTCCCGAGCTTGGCGCTGTATTTGAACTCAGTGACACGCCCCAAGTCGAAGTACTCGCTCGATTTGATTGGTTCCCCGCCAAGGTCGATGACCTGGAGAGCAAAGGCGGATCAGAGAGCACGGCAGAGGAACGAACGCTCGCTCTGAAAGGACACTGCTACCTCTTGGTATATGAGGGGTCTGGCGTTGCTTGGAAACCACTGGCCACTGAGGTTGTGAAGCCGATGGAAGACGGCCTGCAAGTCGCCGGGCCACATGTGCTTGCAGGCATCCACGCGGAAGCCCGCTAAGCCGATGTCGATCAGGCGGTTCATGTACTCGGCTATTTTCTCCCTGACGTAGTCCTTCTCCACGTCCAGGTCCAGGAGCCCAACCAGGCGACAGTCTCGCACCTTTTGGGAGTCGAATGACCAAGTATAAATGTACAGGAGAAGTCGTTCAAGTCGGTGATTCTCAACCCGGTCCTCAGGGCCCATGTTTTTGCCCCCTCCCCTGATGGGGTGAAGAAACAATGGTTTATGTGGCATATCAGACCGTGTGAGTTTACCCAGTAAAACTGAGCATGGCAGATGCACAAGTCATGATGATGAGGATGAAGCCCACCAGCCCACTCACTCCTGAAGACTGCTTATTCTGACTGACTGACGGTTGACGATGACGATGATGATAGCTGCACAGATCTTTGTTTTTGAAAAATAAAAGTAACGTAAAGACTATATGGGGTTGGGTGACCATATTCTGCTTTGCAAAACAAGAGGATACAGGGGCAGCAATGCAAATATGCACACAGAAAGCATTTTGACTTTAGAAAGTAAAATGTCAACATAAAACAAAGCGAAATCAAATTTTCAGGCATTTTTAGGTTCCAAAAAAGTCTGGGACAAATAGGACATATGGTCACCCTAATGCGCAGAGGAAAATCGACAGTGGCGAAGCCTTGCCTGAAAGATATCATTGTAGTTCTGGATTTCTCCGTTGCTCGTTCTGCATTTGCCGTCATTAAAGTCCCACGAGGAGTACGGCACCTCTGGGAAATCCTCCTTGTGGGCGTTGAAGTACGAGCCGCAGGCCGAATGCCTACCCTCGCCGCCCCCAGCGCCACACATGTGATTGATGACCACGTCGGCATAGATGTTCACCTGCAACGCCCAGCGTGCAATTGGCGTGCGGAAGACCAGCGGTTAGCTCACCATCCTCCGCACTCGTGCAACGGCCATGCAAACCTCACGCTAACAGCATCTAGTTTAAAAATGCAACTGCTCATTCATGCACATTAAATATTAACACACACTAAATAAAGAGACATCAGTACATAAAATGCCACTCAATTTACACTGTGCATGTTTCTGCTTTGAATCTTACCCTGAATATTAAAGATGTCAGCTTTATAACCCTCAGATGAATCAAATTATGGAAACTATTTTTTCCCCTTTTTTTAAGGGGCAAAGAGGTTTGCTGACAGAGCAAGATTAAAGACTAAAGAGCATGCTACACATATTCAAATAAAACAGCCGCACAGAGTAGGTCTCAGTGCTTGCATCCTCTTATGAGGCAACGGTGTACATTTGCTGGTGTATATGAGTTTGAAAAGTATCTAGGAGTTTGACGCATTTCAGGGACTCTTTACCCCAACGTTGTTGCACCGTTGCACCATGTCCCTCAGCTCCGCCTCCGTCCCCGAACGGGAGCACAGGTTATAGCTGACTGGCTGATATCGCTGATACCAGGCTCGCCAGGGATGGTCAAGGACTATGTTTTCACTGGGAGGGGAGATCTGGCAAAACAGAGCACTCACTACAGAGATCACGCTCGCATTCATTTGTTTCAGATAAAGTAATATTTCAAATAACATGGTATCCAGACAGGTAAATTAACCAGCATTGCCAGCATAATACGGCACTGAAATACTAATAAAATAAAAACTGATTATGCGAATTTAATAAGTATAATAAATTTGTGGAATATGTGGTTCATTTCAACGAGTGTACAAGGCAAAGACCGCAATAGTGGAAAATTTGAATAATTTATGTATATTAATTATATTATATTACATAAAACTAAGTAATAAGTGAGTAAAATAAAACCTGGCGCCTCATTAAACAGCTGGAGAGTTTAATCGGTTAGTTGTGAAAACTAGAAAGGGACCCACCTGCACCCCTCCGAAGCCATTGGGGGCCAGATAGCGCTCGCACTCCAGCGCTATGTCCTCCCAGCGCCACTCGAACAGGTGGACGATGGCCGTGCGGCCGTCCTTGAAATGCGGGTCGTACTGAGCCGCGCTCAGCCCGAAGATCGCTGCCAGAAGTAGGAGCTTCATCCTCACCTGTCGATTGGATGGAGACCAGGTGAGACGTGGCTGCGAGCGCCGTCTCCTTTTATGCGCAAACCGGCTGGCAGACCCACACCGGGGGCCCAAAAGAAACCGTCCATATGGACCGTGCCCTGCTGATAAAACTTTTATCGGTGCTGCGCTAACAAGTGCAGCAAACAGATGGAAATACACCGTTAATTCTCATCGACTGTTTATAAATCGCATGTCGTTAATATGCAGTAGCCTATTTTGTTAACGTTTTTTATATCAAAAACTTAAAAGAAATAATAATCATGGCTCAACATTCTACAACCTTTTGTCATATGTATGTTATTGCATAACATCTATGCCCATGGTTTTTTTTTTGTTTAGATCTATATAGGCCAAGGCCTAATTTATAGACCTATTGCAGCTTATTTTATTTTACATGCAAGCATTGTATTGTTTAGAAATCATACTCTACACCGCCGACTTCTTTACTTCTGTGTATTTCTGTGTAAGGCAATGTACTGACATACGGCGAAATATTTATGAGAATAACAGAGTGAGTATGTACCTGCTTGCCTCGCACAACTGCAGTCTGCAGGGTTTTCGGCAGTTTTTAGGTCTTCTGAACTGCCTACAAGCTCGCCTTTGCGACTGCTGTCAAACGGGGCGGCAGCTCCGCTGATTCGCAGTGACAGGGGGACCGGCAGGCGGGCTAGCTCTGCCAGCTAACCCGAGTTAAAAAAAGCCCCGTCACTGCTCCGGGAGGAGCAGCCCCGCTTCTCCCCGCTTTACCGGGTGTCATCTAGCGGCGGGACGGGCACATTGCCCGGTTTGCGCCCGCACTGCATGTTGTTTGTCGCCTGCTGCCCTGCTCTTCCGCGCTGTACGCAGGCGCTATTCCGCTGTGAGACGGGCGCTGCCCTGTTTATCGCTGTTAGTTTGACATTTAACTTCAACTTATTTTGAGCCGCTTTTTAAAATATAGCCCTATGTAGTTTCTTTTAATGTAGGCCTATTTCGGAGTGCAAATTGGATCCCCTGACATATAAAATAACGCTGCCTTGTAACCAGCCTAAGTTTGATCTTGTAAGTATACTGGACGTCTACATTTCTGTTAAATTAACTAAATCGTTAATGTCAGTTGTTGCTGGGCGTTACGTCTTCGTGTAACGTTTGTCCAGTTGCTGAATGTCACAGTGCGTTAGCTGCAAACATTTTAAAGTCCTAGCGGCATATAAACGTATGTTGAAGGCCTTTTAAAGCAGAAATATTTACTATGCCAGTCACTTTAAATACAGCTGTTAATAAAGAACACTAATGAACATTGAAAATGGTACTTCTGTATTGCTGCCAATATCTTTTTAATTCCTCCAGAAGAAGTCCTTGAAACTGAAAAACGTGCATGTTGACTTAACCCTGAGGTGCGCAGACTGCCGGTGGAGACAGTAAGCGAGTAACCACCCAAGTTCTCATCGCAAACTAACATTTCGACTCCTGGTCAAATGAATGAATTCCCTAATGGCGCTAATTAAGCATTCACAGTTTGAATGGGCTGTGGTTTTTGACTGTTGGAAAACAAGTATGACATGTGGCCCCTGGTTTTACTAAACATGACATCAGCCAGAATAGTAATTAATGTTCTGATTTTAGTGTTGGAGTCTGACAAAACTCAAAATGCGCAACAGCAAGTAAAATAAGCCTCACATACTACCTCCCTGTATTTTAAGTAATTGAATTTGAAGACGATGCAATAACACAAATTTAAATTATACAACATTGAAATAACTTCTACATTGTCGAAGGACTGAAATGCATAGACATTTCTATTAACTGTTTTGTCTAAGAGTAATGGCATTATCTCCAAATTAATCATTACACTGCGGTGTATTTACATTTACAGGAGATGGCAGAGCGCCCAAATTATTGCGGACGCCCTTAACAGCTGAGGGTTAGTTTCGAGACAAGCTTGCATGCGTCATGTATATAACAAACGACATATTAATCCAGGGAATCAAAATTCAGTTCTCGCTTTTTCCATTTTTCAGTCAATTAGCAGCAGAGCAAAAAGAATCTACCGAGCAGCAGCTGAAAAGCTCATTCATGCTGCATCTTCCAATCCATCAGGCTCTGAGAAGCTCTTTGTTTGTCTGTTTCCGTGTTTGTTGTCTTGGCACAACGGGCCGTTTCCTTAGAGAGGACACGGCCATCTGCTACCGGGCTAGAGAAGGCTGACTGCATGGGATAAGCGATTACTTAAAATCGCCAGATATAATCTCGGGCTAATAACGGGGTTCACACCTCTCCTCGTGGTTTATCACAATTTTTAAAAAGAATGCAGTATTCGGGCAATGCATGATCACGCCAAAATAGCAAAGTACGGACAGTTACGCTGTATTATTTGCCAATAATCATTTTAATTACAATTAAATGAACGAGATACCGTCTGGTGTTGGAAAGTATAAACATATTTAATTCGAAGCTTATTTTTTTTCTTTGAAATATACAAGATAGTAGTGTTGAGAGACGAGCCCTGTGTGTTTGCGCATTCACACTTCACGATGGGTGTGTTTTGGGCTCTTTGGGAGTCCCTTAGAGTACTGCAGCTTTCAAAGCGCGCTATTTAGTTATCGCCTCATTAACACCTGAAAAATCAGGCGAGGTGATTGATTATAAAAAATAATTGACTGAATAGGCAAAAATAACTGTAGCTGAGACAAAACCAGCATGCAGTCTTTTACAAAAGAACTGTGGTTCAAGACATTTTAATTTTCACCTTCAAGGACTCACCTTAGGTTACCAAGCTGAGGTAGCCAAGGATTATTTGGTTTTAATGTCACACTGGCAAAATTAGACAGTTCCTCTGCAGAATAAAAAAATCTTAATATATATGTTGAAAATCTAATTGTTTTAATAATTTGTAGCTTGTAATAAATTGCTGTTATGAGTTGTTATATTCATTTTGATGTACGACTCCATACTGAAGGGTAAGCACGTCTGTAGGCCTGTGTCCTTCACCTACCATCAGGGGTTAGGCTGGGAAGTCTGAGCCCCCTGACAGAAAGCCCCCACCCCACCCAGGTCCTGGCACCTGTCCAGGCCCCTTGAATCATTCACGATTTCCACCCCATTTACCGTGTCTCTGCCTTCCACACGTGTAATTTAATGCCCTTGTCGTCATCGCCCCCCCACCCCCCATTGTTCTCTGTAGCTCCATCTCATCCAGGGGCAGCTCCAGAGAATTTCTACTGCTGGTGCTACTGGGTACGTAGCTTGGCCTTTTATTTAGGGTGCTGTGAAATTTACGTTTCCTGGTGATGCGTTATCACTGTTTTTTATGATGACACATGCTTACACATCATGGTAGGTATGAAAAACAAACCTACAGACAATCTCTGACAATGAAACCACACACAAGTCTACTTGCTCAATACAAACAGAAACAGAAGCACACTGCATCGTGAACATAGCAGCGGGGAAAGTATTCGAAATGATTCACCAGGAATCAGCAGTATTCCATTCCAGACTTAAAATAGTCTCAAGTCCCAAATAATTTAACTCAAAGTGATGGGAAAATCTTTCACGTACTATTAGATGTCTTCATAACAGCACAATGTATGGAAGAGGATTAGGGCCACCATGAAGATATTATTTAAATTTTGACTTTAATGTCAGAATTCTGACTTTTTTTCTAAACTCAGAACTCTGACATTAAAGTCAGAATTCAAATAATAGCAGTCAATATACTGTATTAAAAGGTGGCTGATATTAACCGGTAACTTTAACGCTAATCTTGCCAGAAGGTGATGAAGATCCTGTAGTCGTGCCCTTGCACAAGTAGCCTAACTGAATCTGAATTGCACCACCGTAGTATTTAGCTTGATTCGAGTAATCGTGCTTTGAAGTGATCTTTTATTGAGTTGCACTGTGAATATGCTACTACACTTTGCAAAGGGACGCGTTTACAGCACGTTGTTTAAACTTACACAGAGAAGCACTATGTCCGTAACTAAATTTTTTATAAGTTAAATTCAACAATTCACAATACAGCCAAGCGTAGAGTTACACTTCAGTTGCTAACTTTGGAACGCAATTCCACATTCAGAGAATTGCGATTCGCGGAAAATCCTCCGCAAATTTTTTGTACAGATCTAACACTTTCCGTCTGCAGAGAGCAGATAGAGTCATCCCCCGATAAGTTCTTCATACAGAAACACAGCGGTTGTCAATTGATCGTTTCCCTTATCTGCCTCTGTGCCTCTGTCGCCGCTGCTTCTCTGTTTGATTTATAAATCTATATTTTTCCAGTTCTTTGGATTATTCATAAGAAATACATGGAAAGGAAAGATAAACTCGATGCAATGGAATGATGTCAATTTCACAGTGTAACCTGGTCTAACACAAGAAAGACGAATATTACAAAAAAAAACTTGGAAACTGCCCACATGAAGAATATGAACGGTTTTTACGTATTTAAACTTTTGTTTGAAACGATTTAAAACCAAAAATCGATTTTTAGCATGGATTATTAAACATAGCCTAACTTTTGACTAATCATAAATCAAATGTAATTGCCTAGATTAATAAAGATTCTGGGTTTAATTCACACTGACTACAGCCATATGTTGTGATACTTGTATATGACAAGCTTATTTTCATACCCGTCAGAATAAGATTAAAAAGGAAAGGAAACGCAATGTAGCAAAAGGAGTTCAGAAAAGTTTACATTTCTAGTTAATATACAAGAGGTCGAAGAGGCTGTTCGACAAAATCCACTGGCTACTCAAAAAGTAAATTGGAAGTATGCTTAATTTTAAATGCAAATGTCCCAAAATGTCCTTGTCGCAATTAAGTAGACACGTCTGGTGACAAGGAACAAAACTATGCTGAGATGCCTTACACATGACTGTGGACTCAGTTTTAGAATTCAGGTGTATTCAAGATTGTAGATTGTGTATCTTGTCGTGTCTGTCGTTTGTTTTGGTGCCACCCGATTCATTCATGTCTTATTTTACGTATGGGATTTCTGCACAGACATTTTTTATAGACAATTCTGGTCTTAGCTTTATAAATATCAAACGACAGAGATTCGGAGGGAAGACGAACAGGTGTCACGTTTCCTGAAGTCCGTTGTGTGACACACTAGCACCACCAACAGACCGCAGGGGAAAGTGCCCTTTTGCTGACCCTGATCACCGCAGCGTTAGACGGAAATCTTCCACTGGGCATTTGTTCCGATACTGTATTATTATTATTGTTATTAAAATACTTGTAATATAACTGTTTGCTGTTTTATCCTCAGGCTTCTGAATGATAATGATGTTTTATGGCTAGACGTTGAATCTCTAATGATGTTTTATGTACCTATCACAACACATCCATGTAGAGCGTTTTGGGACGACTCGGTTGTGAAAGGCGCTATATAAAATTACATTGAATTGAATTCTGAATGTAGGCTAATTCCCTAACTCAACTAGGCTGTGCTGAAACAATTTCTCTGTGCCGAGTGTCAGATTGAGTGTCTTGTGTTTATATTGGTTTGAATATTGCTCTTTCTGGCTTGTAGATAACGGACAGCGCGCGGCGCCACCCTAGCCCTAGATCATAAATGTGCGCTGCATTGTAGAAATAAAATATCGGAGCTTGTTCTGTCCTGTTTTTGCTATTTAGTGACCGCTATGAGAGACAGGCATCAGAATCAACTTCATTCGCCATGCACAGTCCGAGTACAAAGAGTATGTTTTGGTGTGTTTGATCACATTAAAGTATTTTAAGTAAATTAGAAACATAACATAACATACTGTAGAAACATGGAACAATATCCATAATCGTATATAAATATTTTCATCATGCAACTAAGATGTACAATAATGATTTCTGAGGACACATCGCAGTTAAATAGGTAAGATTACGAGAAGAAACTGTCAGATAACCACACACATTCAGCCCGTAAAAGTTACTGCACTTTTCTTTGCAGTGACGTGTACTCATTATACTCCAATGTAACACAAACCTATTCTCTACACAGAGACGCAAGCTATAGACGCTTTAGTCCGTTTGACATCTCGGAGTTACACGTAATAGAATAAATATGTGTGGCAGTAGATATGCAGCTGGGAGGAAGACCGAAGACAGCCCACACCACACAGTAGCCTGGAACATCTGACTGGAGCCGAAGATCTCTGTCATTCTTTGAAAGTATAGTCATGACCTCAAAGTAGCCATTTTAAACCTTGGACCGAGTAGCTCTGAAAAAAGCATTTAGTCAGAAGCGGAGGTTTTGCTTTACATATCTTCACCATTAGAGGTCACTATTAGCAATCATATCAAAATATTGTGCTTTTTTTTCAAATATCGTTTTCCTAAAATGTTGGTAACACTCAATTTACGTTTTTACAAATATTTTTGACCAATGGGCAGAAGAAATAACTTTAAAATGATACAAATTAATTCACTTTATAAATCAAATGGCGTTGAGCCATACCTGTACACATATGTCAAGCCTGTACGTGAAGGATTTGATCATGTCTAGGAATTCTTGTGCACCTTATCTCTCAAATAGACTTTTCATGTACAGTGTCATCTGCGATAAAATAACACACCTTGAAACTCCTCCATTAAGATCCTGCAGTCTGTTGTCATCACGGGAACAGAGCAGATTACTCTTGTTGATGTAAGAGGTGCTGTCTTCGGAGGGTGGCTCGTCCTCTAAGGCCTTTGTGCATTCGTTTTCCCCCCCCATTCTAACTGAGATTTCTCTCGATATGAGCTCTTTTCTTCACTGATGACACTTGGCATGCCTCACCTCAGCGGTGGGGGGGGGGGGGGGATGCTCTTTGGGCAGTCGGGGTTTCTTCTGAGTGCCTTTCTGAATTTTCACAGGTGGATGGTGACCGTAGTCCCCTGATCCCCGTGCCGTTGCCCTGCCACTAGAGTATTAACGGCAAGAATGGAGTCACTTCTCCTGTCACCTTGTCACCTCGTCAGACAGTGACTGAAAAGAGGCATTTTGAAAGAGACTCCAACCCATCAAAAGCATTCTGGTTTAAAGGCATGAAGGATTCAATGCTTTTAAACCATATAGTCATATTCCAGAAGCTTTTCTGACCATACATCACAAATGTGACTTTATATTTTACATACTCAATAATAAACTTCTCCTAAACATCTCACTTTAAACACATCCAGCACGCAGCTCAGAGATGCTATTTTTTTCTAATTTTGCTCATTTGTTTAAAGGGGCCATTTATTCATGGTTTTTAATGCACTCTTATATGTGACTTCAATATAAACTCACAACCTGTTGAATATTCCAGAAGAATGCTCCTACAGTACGTAATAGTTCAGCTGTAGGACAGGATTATGAAGTATTTTTATTATACTCTCTAAAGCCAACTCTTCCCCAGTCTTGTAATTTATACCAGGTTTTTGTTTTTTTTTGTCATCGATGCATGAAAAACACACACACACACACAGAAGCTGTTGGTGTTAAATAAAGTTGAAATCACAGTAACCAGGTAGGGGAAAATTTTGAAAAGCCTGGGAATAAAGGAAAACTGAGCCCTATTACAAGATATGTTAAACCTGTTTTCAGAAAAACAGTACACTATAACCTACAGAATGATTGTTAAAAAGCATTTTTTTTTAATCATGCTTTGCAACATTTAGGAAAAATTGCATGGAGACAGTAGGTGGCGGTGTGATTAAATCACGCTTTTCAATACATTAAAGTACAACAGTCACTGTAAAGAAAAGCTTTCCGGATTATTTTTATCCTTGGGGATTTTTCTGGGGACTATCAGCCCTGAATGTCACACAAACATATGTGTGCAGGTTCTGATGGGGCGTGCTTACACATCGCCTCGGCCACAAAGCCACGTCCCCGTGGCCCTGGGTGAAAGGAGGCCTTCTGTGGGTTAAAGGCAAATCGGCCATGGGCGCCAAATACGGCGATCTCTGTGAAGAGCGCGTTGTCCTTTCATTCGTCCAGGAAGTGCCGCAGAAAGAGATGGAGACATTCCCACAACATTCCCCAAAACCGCTGCCCACTCCCTGTTTAAATTGTTCAGAGCTGCTATGGATCTGGACTCATAGGCTATTTAAAGCTGCCCTGTAATGAGTCAATCAAACAAAAGGTCTTGTGAGTCCTCACTGCTATCTCATAAATTAGCAAATATGCCGTAACATTTTGTTTAAATAATTAAATATGCTGTCTGTATTTACATTGCTTAAGCTGTGTTTTTGAGAAATACACAAAATAATGTTTAGGGAGTCATAACTTATAAATGTGTGTGTCTGTGTGTGTGTGTGTGTGTGTGTATATATATATATATATATATATATATATATATATATATATATATAGTCAAAATATTCTTTTTGGCTCTTCTTGAACATATACGCAGCCTTGGAGAGTTGTTTTTCCCTGAAAAGTAATTTTATTTAAAGGAAGTTCTTTTGACCCTAGAGGAAACAGAATATGTGGATTCCACACGTGTTCAAATTGTCCACCTCATTTTGAACTGAATCTTTTTCAGTTTGAATTTTGCCCGAAGACCAGTTTACACCAGTCGAGAATCTGGAATCTGATTTATGAAGGAATTTGGAACAGGTAGGCCATACAAACTTACACAAAGGCGTCCAATTCATGAAATATTTGGAGTGCAATGTAATGCTAGTTTCTAAGGTGTAAGCAGTACAGTCAAATATTTGTTCCAGTGAGCGCCATCTGCCACACAGGTCGGGAAAAACCCGGCTGGTGGGGTAGCAATGTCCCCCCCCAAATGAAGCGTCTTAAGGGCGTTACACCGTGTCGTTCCCTGATGCAGCATGCTGCTCCCCCTCATCCCGTTTCCACGACCAGATCCGAAGCGGCTGCTTCCTCACATCGGTTTCCGCTGCGGCTGCAGAAGCCACGGGAGAAGAAGTAATTGAGTTGGTGATTCATGCATTCCGTGAAAAGACGCACCTTTACTGCTGACGGCCGTTTATTGGCATTCCCAACACGGAGCGATGGCATTTTCGTGTTCTTTCTCCTTTAGCAATTGGCCAAAGTGAATTCTGCTTGCAGGAGTTGGGAATAGGGGGGGGATACATTACTATAGGAGCACACAAAAGATAATGATGTACAGTGACGGATCCCAGAATGCAATGGGAAAACGCTTTAGCGATTGGCACGTTTGCAGAATTTCATACCTTCTTCAACCGATTCCCATAACAGAACCTGAAACATCATCCAGAGGTAAAAGGACTCTGCTGCTCACCGTGCCAGAGAAATGTGTTATGCAGATGTGTTGAACAAAAAAAAAACAAAATCCATTTTCCTCCTTCTGAAAAAAAACATTCAAACGGTATACCACATGGCAAATTGAACGTAAGAGGGAATAAGCGTCTTTACTCAGCCTGTCCACGGAAGAATGACCTCATATTATAAATTATGTTAGTCTATGCCACTGAAAGTCCTTTCGCTTACACGCGACACGAATATTGTGCTTGTTTAATTGTTTTAATATAATTTCCGCTCTGTTTGTTTGCATTCGCAACGGCATTTCGATGGGGCTCTCCAGCTGGCCACGTCTCCTCACGCAATCGCGGCAGTATCGGTAGCCAAAAAGACGCAGTGGAATCGAGACGTTGGAATTAGCACCGACTCCTGTGGTGCTTTAGCTGACGAGGGAGCGCTCTTCCTGCCAAGGCGTTTATCAATGTTTTCAGGATTGTGTCAAGGCTGATTTCAGCCGTAAATAGTGTGTCAGACTCAGGACGCCTGTGTTTTTGTCAATAGGATCATTTGCAAACATTTACGTTTCGTGTTTTTTTTTTTTCACTTTAAATGATGGTGTCCCTCGCTAAAAGAATATAACACGGTGATACCTAAAATTATGAAGGCCAGGGGTTGCCCCCCTCCTCTCCCCTCAATGACACCATTGTAGAAAAGAGAATTAAGGGATCTTACCATCTTAATGAGATGCAGCTATAGATAATTTCAGCTAAAACATTCATTCATCGTGTATAGGTTGTCCTAGGCAGGGTTGCAGGAGCCCTGAGCCTATCCCAGAATTATTGGGCCCGAAGCTGGGAATAACCCTGGGTGGGGCGCCAACCCATCGCAGGGAACATAACCAGCTACAGTGTCAGAAAAAAATGGCCAATTTGTACCTTTGAGGGTACAAGTAGCCTACTTGTCAGTGGGGCTGTACCCTCAAAGGTCTGCCAATTGTACCTTAACTGTAAATGTACCTTTTAAGGTACAGAAATGGACCCGGAGGAACATTTTTGTAGTGTAGGAGGTACCACAGCTGTACCTTCTTTTGTGACAGTGTATAACGTGTCTTATCAAAAAACAAGAAAAATATAGTATATGCATTCAGACAAAGAGATGTTCAAAAGATATATAAATCAGTAATACAAACATTTCATAGTTTTTTAAAGATTTTGGACGGATATCACTCATTCTCAATAAGTTATTTATACAGGAATTCTCTATTGAATATGTGATATCTTTCAAATCTTTTATGTAAGCTTACAAGACATCGGGAGTCTAATATTTCCTAATTCGGAGGAGAGGGGGGTACGTCACTCGTTATCTCGAAGTCATAATTGCAGGGTCTTGCATTCTTCAGAGTAATTACCATATTTCTTAAAAAGCCAAGTCGTTTGATGCTTGACCTCAGACACATACTTGGTTCCCCGCCCTGACTGGACATTGAGTAAGGAACAGAAACCTTTTTCTTCCCGCTTAAGGATATGCACAGACTGAGGACCATTTGGGTTTGAGCCATGTGGTTGAGCCGGCAGCCCGATCCGTGGCTGGAAAGGGCGGTAGGTGTCATTCCGCATTGGGGGAAGGGAAGAGGGGCCTGAGTCGCATCGGCGGCTGCAGCCCCGCAAAGCCGGCACATACCAGACGAGCCCGAAGACTTCCTGAAACAAAGACGAGAGCCTTCGCTTCCAGAACATTCCCATATGAGCAGACTTCATGAGCTCAGCCCTGAAGCTGACGAACATTTGGCACTGGTCTCCTGAAGCTGATGAACATTTGGCACTGGTCTCCTGAAGCTGATGAACATTTGGCACTGGTCTCCTGAAGCTGATGAACATTTGGCACTGGTCTCTTGCCCATTTGATTAGAAGTAACTCAATGGCTTCTATTGTGATGTATTTATCTCTGTGTTTTGGGGGGAAGGGTAGATGGAGGTGGATTTCTATGTTTTTTACAGCTGTCTCCTGCCGGTATGAGTCAGCATGGCATAGAGGTGGGTGTAGGGGTGATCCGGCATACAGGGAGACGCTGCAGGCCAAGCAGAATGAAGAGACGTGGCCACCGTCCCTCTCCTTGAAATACTTGCTTGAGGGGAAGCACTAATCATGTGACCTCCGCCATATTCTCACTGAGTTTTTCTGGGGATGATCCACTTGTGTCCTGAAGCATCTCAGTGCACAATGCTCAGTGTGAGCAAAAGAAGCACAAGATCTGTTCTCAGTGTGTTTTTGTGTGTGTGTCTGTTCTCAGTGTGTTGGTGTGTCTGTTCTTAGTGTGTTTTTGTGTGTGTGTCTGTTCTCAGTGTGTTGGTGTGTCTGTTCTCAGTGTGTTTGTGTGTGTGTGTGTCTGTGCGTGTTGAATGTATTTATGTACATATCCTTTAAAAAATGAATTGGTACTTCATTCCTGTTCTGGAAGGTGTGTTTTCCCAAATTTGATGAATGACGTAATGCTTTATCATCTGGAAAATCACAGTTGAATTATCTCTAAATTGGAGAAGCAGTAAAGTTAAGGTTGTAGGGGGGGGGGGGTATTCAGATGTGCTAACAATGTCCCCTTCAATATATATTATAATTACAGCCTTGGGGTGTTGACTCCATGGATACAGTCCTCACTAACACTATATAACATCAATGAAACACTACATTCTTATAAATGTAGCTGACTCACACTCCAGCCGTACACACACACAAATACACACACGAATATCTATAAAGAGACTTGTGCAATGGTCATATATACAGTTTATACTAAGGTTTGCTTGTCAGATTGTGACACACACACACACACCACAGAGAATATCCAGGAAGCTCATTTTGGAGTGAATCCATGTGGCAGTTTGAAGGTCTGTTTCTTTCCAAATTTAATTAAAAGCCACAGACGTCTGAGCGAGGGAAAAAATGGCTA